TGGTCTACTATGCAAAAGACCTAGAATATTACATTTTTAATATTAAAAGTAGAAACGAATCACTTGTGTCTTCAAAGAAAAAAAAATGAATGAGCATCTAAAGATCAAAGAAAAAATGGAGCATTGCAGGAAATTAGACTTGAAACTAATCTGTTTGTATTGTCCAGTCTTCCATTTTTTTGTTTATCCCACACCTTTCTCGGGAATTACAGGAGAATTTAAACCTAATCTCATTCAAATCAATTTCCCTTTGTACTCTATAATTCCCCTTGGCTTTTTTTTTTTTTTTCTGAAAGATGGTGGACACACAAATATAACATAGTGATGAGATACTGCATCTGTAATTGTATGGGAACTGCTGAGTCACGGCCTGAACCTCTGATTGATCACCTGAGGTGAGCAATGAGTCAGGCACAGGAGCACAGGTGAAGGCAATTCACCTGTGCTGCTGGAAGGGGTGGAGCCAGGCTCCACCTCTCCTAGACCCATTTAAGAGCTGGCTACCAGTGGAGATGGATCTCTTCTGGAGATCTACCCTGCTGGTGTTTTGTGAGTGAGCCCAGGATAGGGGTAAGCCTTCTATTTATCCTCTTTTTGTTATCATAGTCTGCTTTGTTGAACTCTCTTGTTTATTTCATAATTATAGCGTCTTAATATTCATTGAGTATACAGTATTCGCCTATTCTATAGCCTCTGCTACCCCTTACCTTCTTAACAGATCCCTTTGCCCCTTCATCAATACTACTTTTATTTCCACTCCTACTTCCTTCCCCTTTCAATTTTGTTCTTTTTTCAGACTTACAAGTTCAGGCCAGATGTTACGCTGCTCTTCAGCAAATAGGCTTTTGCATTCTGACACGCCAGCATTCGGTGTTCAGGATCTGGTGTTTGATCATCATATGGACCGTAGCCTGGCTGATATAGTCCATAGCCTGGTTCATGTGGCAAATAAGGTCCATGCTCACGTTCATAGGCTTGGTAGCGATCACGTCCGCTGTGTGTCTGGTAGGCACTTCTTGGTTCCTGAGTTCCTAGTGGGTATGTCTGATACATGCTTACCTCCTGTGCCTGATGAGAGTCTTGTCCCAGTGTGTGTATCTGACTGAAGTTTATGTCTGGCACATGTTGCTTGTAAGAGCTTTCTTCTGCTCCCTGTGGGTGACAAAAATATTGCACTGGGGTCAGTGAATGATGTACTTGTCCAGGTGTACGAGCCTGGCCAGCAGTCCAGGTAGAGGTCCTAATAAGGTGCCTGTGACTGACTGCCACGCTTTCCCAGCTCTCCTGGCTGATCAGATCTAGGCCATACCTCCTGGTACTTGGAAGCTGCTCCCGGTTCTAACTGCTGAGGCTGGTAAGATTGTCCTCCGGGTTGAGAGTTCTCAGAAGGGCCCCCCTGGGGTAGCCGGGGGCTCTGTTCAGGCTCCCCACCAGGCTCGGCCATGGCCAGACGCCTCAGCAGCCCCTCAGCCTCGCTCACCGCCGAGGTGTAGCGGCAGCCGTTGCCAGGGCAGCCGTTGCCGGAAGGGGTGGGCCGGCCGCTGGCCTCTGCTCTCGGCAGGGGACTGACGTTTGTCCCCGCCGGCCGGCTCTGTGGAACGGCGGCCTTGAGGGAAAGCCGATGAAATCGCTGGAGCTCCTTCGGACGGTTAACCGGACAAGGGGAGGGCTTCCGCGCCTGCTGCCGTTCCCGCTAGGCGGGCGGTTCCCTCCGTTCAGCGGCTGCTCGAGCTGCTCTTCGCTCCTGTTCGTCTGCAGGGGGCTCCGGCCCGACTCCCTTCCCCTCTTCGTGACCCGTTGCGATTCGTGTTTGCAGAGTTTGTGGTGCAAAAGCCTCTCGCAGCTTCGGCTGAGAGCAAAAAAGTAGACCTTCCAAAGCTTACTTTTCCTTTTTAAACATGCCGTGTTCCCTTACCTTCACTGCACACAATAGAAAACGCTGTTTAATCTGCTGCATTCTAGTAGGGATACATCATACCATTGCTATTTGGCATCAAGCTTTTTCTTCTGGGACAAAAGCACACTGTAAAACTTGATGAACATTTAAAAAATTGCCTTTGCAGATCCAGGGAAATAAATCTAAACAAAATAAGAATGAAGGTAATACTGACAGAAGAGTTAAAAAAAAAAAAAAAAAAAAATTGCATCGTGTTTCTATGATTCCAGAAAGGGAAACAGTGTCCTAAAAATGCTAATTCTACTGCGTCTCTACGTGCAGAGTTGACCTTCGGGTCTTCGCAAGCAACGTGCCCACGGTCCCTGCGTTGCAGGTGCACTTGCAGAGCTTCCCCAACAGCTGCAGAGGGCGCTGCAGCACTGCAGGTTATTCGTGTGTTACTTCTGATGCTCTACCCGTATTTCTCATCTGGAGGAAAAACTTGATTTGTTGTTTAGCGTTACAGTTGGGAAGATTAACGCGGTGGAATGGAAGAAGGGATAAACAAGAAAGGAATGCTCGTTCATATCCAAAGATCTAGGCTCACACAGAAAAAACTTCACAAAGGAGGGATCTCCAGGAAGAGGTCCTTCCCCAGTGGCAGTCAGCCCTTAAATGGAGTCTAAAAGAGGAGCCAGGCTGCACCCCTTCCAGTCACACAGCTGAATCGCCTTCACCTGCGCTCCCATGGCTGACCCAGTCCTTGCCTCAGGTGATCAGTCAGTGATTCAGGCTGTGACTCAACAGTTCCCATACTCTTAGTAATTCATGTTTATAACATGTATAAAATTGCCTGTATACACATGATGTTCTGTGAAGCACCTGCCCAAGAGGACAAATACTTCATTTTTTCAATCTCCTAGAAAAAAAAAAGAATACTAGGATTACCTGCACTGTTTCATAATGTTACTCTTTGCCTTTGCTTTCATATAGGTTATAAAGTACACTATAGTATCAGGGTAGAGTGTACCTCACTTCATCCACGTGCTCTTTTATCAATGTGCTGTCATCATCTCTCATTGATGTGGAAAAGTAGCGAATGCATGTAATATTACTGCAAAATCTCACTCTGGTGAACACCATCAGTAGCATGTGTTAATTAGCTGAAATGTAACTAAAGTATCTATTAATATTTTCAGTTTCCAAAGGATATACGCTAATGATTTGTATTCCATTTGCTGTGGTCAGGTATCAATGGTCTCTCTTGTGCTGCAAATTCAAGCCATTTTTTTTCAGTAACACTTTTTTTTTTTTTAACTGAAATCTTGTTGGTTGCTTTGTTGCACTTCTATGCAGTTTCTTTGTTAAGTTCTGAAGTTGCTTGCACTAGCAAGTGAATTAGAATGGAACTTCTTATTACACACGGGAATCCTTCTGTGCTCTGTTAATATCTAAGCAAACATTTTTTGATTGAATTGGAAAACCCAGTTTCGGGGCCCACGTGTGTCTATCCTGAAGAATACTTCCAACTGATACTACAGATAAGTAGCACCTGTAACTTCTGAGGTGGCTCCTGGGTAGTGGGCAAGGCAGGTTTAACTGAATTCCACTCCATACTCAGAACCTGGGTGCTCCTGTTTTCAGTGCAGCTTGTTCCTATCAGCTGCTGCTGGGTCAGGTATAGCACCTTCCTGAGCAAGTTGGAAAATTAGTAGATTTTTGGGTTGCAAATCATGGTCAAGGCTGAAGAGCCCCTGAAGATGTGAAGTCTGGCTTTTTGTTTACTTTGTATTAATGAATTAAATACCAAATTCAATTTCTAGTAAAGATCTGTTCTTTTAAAATGTTGAATGAGCTACAGACACTTTCCTTCAACTGGAAGTCCTTCAGCACTCCTCCCTATGACAGGTGGCTCTATGGCCATAGCCTGAAATGGGCTTTCTTACATTAATTCCACGTTGTTTTGAGAATGTGGGACTGTGGGAGCTTCTTAATGCTGTCTGGTCCGGTCCCTTGTATCACGTGCAATTGCAGTAGCAAATCTCACCTAAATTCAGTAAGGTAGGCCTCCTGGTGCATGATTAACGGCGTTAGTACCATCCTGTTATTAGAAAGGAAGCGAGGACAGCGGTTGCTAGCCGCGATCGTGGTGGGCGGCGCGGAGGCAGACGCAGGGCTGCCTGCCGTTCCCAGGCAACCGCTACCAACATAAGGCGGGCGGAGGACACCGCCGGCCGCTTGGGGCGGCTCGGGGCGCTGAGGCGCCGGTTCCGGCGAGTAGGTGCCGCTCGGTACCCAGCGGGGCCCGGCGGTACGGTGACGCTCATCGCTGCGGTGTGGGACTTGCTTTGGGCCGGGCTTGCTTAGCGTGGGCACCCTGAGCTTCGCGTAGCGCTGCGGTTCGTGCGGCGGCGGAACCGAGCCTTCCCGCTGGTCCTCCGGCCGACGATCTTTGTTTTATTCTGCTGTATTTCGGTCTGGGAATCAGTCTCCTGCCCATCCTGCTCTCTGTTCGAGTCCTTATATTCCTTAGGCTTCTTGTCCAAACGTTTCCCTTCTGTCGGTCTTCATTGAAGGGGGCGTTAAGGAAAAATGAACATTCACTATAAATGATTTGCTCTAAAATCAAGAAGAAATCGGAAATATTCACCGTAACCAGCTATTGGGCTGCTGTTAGAGGGCTTCCAAAATTGCACTTCTGTGTTTTCTCTCTGACTTGTCCGTGCGGCCTCCTTCTATACTGTTAATTGAAATCCACTGCTACAGAGAGCCCCAAGCTGAAGAAGGAGGCTGCTGGCATCTTGCTATGTGTTAATGCTACCCCTAATCCCAGTACTTGAAGATAACTGTTAGAAAATGTTGACCCAACCCACGTAAATTCAGTGAGTTGCACCAGTTCTACTAAAAATGCCTCTTACTTTTTTTTCTCCATCCATGTTCTGAATTTGTTTTAGAAATAAAGTAAAATGGTGTCCAAATTCCACATTATCTGTTTGTCCTTTAAGCACCAAAACAGTCAATCATGTTGCAGATGAGTTTCCTCAGATGATGTTAATGCTAATATTTTTAATCAAAACTCCTTGAATTTTACTTAAAAAAAAAAACTTTGTTTGCTTGTTTATAGGGGTTGACTGTTTATGGAGTTATAGTAAAACACATAAACAGAGATAATTCTACCTTCTAGAGTGGTACACTATCACCCAGCCATGCCTGTAGAAGGAAAAAGTGATATGGAGAGGATTGGCCTCTTCAGTGAAATGAGCTATGTTACCATTGGAGATAAATATGTATCACATTATATGCGTAAGTATATTTAATTTTAATCACCATGTAAGAACAGGAACTCCTTTTAGTATCCATCTTTTTTTCAGGATCGTTATTTTCTATTATTTCATTTTATCAGAGGCAATTGTTTTTTCATACATAATCTTTGCTTAGATACAAATGCTTGGTGTGATGGCATATATATATATCAAAGAAACAAAAAACCCAGTAAAATAAGTATGCATAATAGAATCACTACAAAATTAATGTATAACTTTATTTTTAATATAATTTACTTGTAGGTTGTGAGTATTTTCCTGTGCTTGTGTAAAATAATAGTGTTATGTGTGTCCTGCCTTTTTTTTTTAAAACATTCTCCTTTTCTTGTCTTTTTGGGGAATCTCATGTACAGGAGTGAGAACAGAACAGAAAAAAAAAAACCCAACAACTCTAAATATAAATTACAACTCTAAATTAAAAATAATGTAATTCTCAGAAAGAGAAAGTCTGCTGAAAGAACACATAAGTAAATTGTTGTAGTAGGTAAGATATGGCAAAGCTGACCCTCAGTAGTTACTTGGAAGTGAAAAATGCAAATGATCCTCTGAGTACAGATGTGTTTGCTGTGATGTTCTGTCAGAGGCAAGTGTGTCTGTCAGAACCCTGGCTCACTAGCTCATTGCTTCCACCACAATAAGCTGCTGGGTGCTAAAATCCACTGGGGGACATTGAAGCTGGTCGACCTGGTCTGTAATTGGAGGGTGAAACAGATGCTCCCCTCATGCATTACTCATAGTATATAAGTAGGTGTCAGGTCTAGCTCTGAATTGTAGTCTGGAGTAACTGATCGCTCTCTATTGCCTCTAAAGCAAATGTAGGCAGTGGAATATGAAAACTGTGTGCTGTGAATACCTTCTCATAGTATTATAGTCTTTACAATATCATAGTCTTTTACACACAATGTATATTATATGATATAAGTCATAAAATATACATGTTTGATTTACAAGTGAAATGCTCTGCAGGACATTCTTTGTCCTGCACCCAGCCATTTGGATCCTTAGCTTTTTAATGCAGTCTAAGAGAAGCACTAACTTTGAATGTTTTTTTTTAATCATTCTTACTTTTTTAAAGGCCCTTTTAATGAAACTGCGAGCAAGAACAGACAGATGCTGTCTGAGGGGAGCAAAACATTGTCAGCTCTTCAGGCAGGTTATTTTGACCCTCAGTTTAAGAGGATTTTCAGCGGTGAAGCCTACTCAAATCCTGTTCAACTAAGGAGACGTTATAGATTGGCAGAATCAAAGAAAAATTTGGGCAAAGCTTTCCTTCCCAGTAATGGAGATAAATTGCCGTAAGTGTTGTGTTTAGCCTATTTCTCTGTATATCTGTTTGTGAATCAGTCTGTACTAATATTACTTTACCTTGCTGGTGCAAAATTGAAACAACCTCTGTTAAGCCTATTTATAACAAGAGTCCTCAGAACTTCATCTCCACTTCCATCTTGTTTCTTTTGTGTCCATAATACTGTACACGGAATTCCTATAATTGTAGTTCCATGCACAGTGGATCCGGTATGGATTGATCCTTACCTCTTCAGATGATACTTGTTTGGGTTTTCTACATACTAACATTTTAGCACAGTAAATATGGAAAGCCTGAAATATTTACAAAGATCCAATTAATGTGTTAATTTGCTCTTTTTAGATGTGGACTAGGTAGCTATTATGGAACCATAGGAGGTCCGTTTGCATACTTCAGTGCACAACTGAAAGCCAGAGAAAGATACATTCCTCCTGGAAAGAATTTTTATACTAGTCCAGGAAAAAAAGGAACTGGATATGGGTAACTTCACAGCATTACTTCTTGCAGTCCTTTATTAAATGCTTTTTGAGTTTTGATCATCTAACCAGTGCATTCTCTTTTTACAGTTATGCGAATCTTACTATAGGTGAGCAATATCCACATGAAGCGGATGGCTATGAATTAGAAACAATAATTGCAAAGGTAAAAAAGATAAAATCTTTATTATGTACTAATCATGATTATTTATTAGAATTTTCATGAACTTCTTGTTCACTGTGGTGTTTCCTTCAGCTCAGAATCACAATATTCGTTTATTGGTTGGTGGAGGGAGGAAGACAAATCACTATATGTAAAAATGAAGATTTACTTATTGTTATTTTATTTTTTTAAGACAAGCAAAAGTATCCCATACAAGTTCCAGCAATCAAGATTTGACCTTAATTTTTTTTTTTATGTGGAGCATTTAAGCAACAATTGCAATAATTACCAAACAATGTGAATAGCAAGAACAATAATAATTCTTCTGTATCATTGTCAGAAATGAGATTGTATTATGCTAGATGCCTTACAAAAAAAAAACCAAACTGAAACAGAAAAGAGTTTATTCTGATCATACAAGCTCATAATTTGAGGAAAGCTCACATCTTTCCTTGTACCGAATTTCTGAATTTAGTTTTCTTATATATTTTCATTATATGTAGTGAGAAATCACTAAATTTGTCTATGGTCAGAATAAGATTAGAAAACTCAGAGTCTAACCATTATACTTGGAGGCTACTTAAATACCCTGAGTAAACGAACAAAGAAGACGGAGCAAATTTTTTTTCAAGAATGAATTTGAATGTTTTCAATGTTTTGGTTAGGAGAATGAAACGAAGTTGAAAAGCTCAAGATTCTTCCTCTGAATTTATTTGTTTTACAGAAAGCACGAGAGGAACACAAGCGTTTGGCTAAAGGAGGGCCCTTCAAGACAAATATGTACCCCCTGGAGTATTTTGACATGAATCCCTATTTTAACGACAAACCTTTGCCACCTGTGAAGAAACCACCTCCAGAGAAGCGAATTGCACCACCTTTCAAACCAAGTTCCCCTGCTAAGAAGGTTAGTTTATCTTAAAGCTACTGGAAACAATATAAACTGGATAAATATGCAGATGTTTTGAATTAAAACTTTGCTTACAGTACATAAGGTTGAAACCAATGTTTCGTACTTTTAAAAATAGAAAAGACATTGTGCAGTTTATTTTGTTGGTGCCAATGCTCCCTGATAAGTAGTTTCAAGTAACCTAGAAAGTCTTTAAAATTTGCGTAGTGCTGTTAACACACAGTTAATTGGCTGGATAGTCCATGAAATATGCACAAAGTGGAATGAATGTTTTACAATAAATGACAGCAAGAAAGAATTACAGTAGCAAAACAAAATGCTTTTTTTATTTTGGACTCTGTCAATCTCTCATGGCATTTTTGAACCTGTATAGGTATCTAAAACAAAATTTTTAGCAGTGTCACAGGAATGGAGAGCTGGAAGGAGCAGAAAATGCAGATTAAGGCTCCTGCTCAGCGAAAGGCTGTAGGAGTTATCTTGGGAGTTAGTAGCAGACACAAATCTGGAGTCAGCTTTAGAATTTTCTAATTCTTCAGTATTTAGGAAAGAAGGAGGAGGTGGATGGGAATAAATACACAGGGGAAGCACTCAGGGGACCTAAGAGATGAAGCTTGGTGTTAATGTCAAGGAACACAGTTCGTTTGTTTCAGTTGCTTTAATGTTACTTCTTAAAATCCAGATGGATATTTTTGCATTCCATGAAACATTTCTTTTAATATATTGTTTTTTCTGAGATTAAATACTAAGTTTATGGAATTCACCTTAGGCTAAATCTTATTTTTAGTTTGAAATGTTCTTAAAATATTGATGCATTTGATGCATAAATGTTTCTCTCAACTGATTCCAAATATGTAGTACAGTAATACCTCTTAATTTGTCACTTCTACATTCTGGTGTTCCACTGTCAGCCACTTAATATAATGTTCTGCTAATGTTATGATTATTCTGTCCTTCACCACTGACTTATTTGACCAATACTAATTCATCTGAGGAATAAGATGATAGTGAAAATGTTCTGAAAAGGACTGCAAGAATGCTTACACATGAAGAATTATGCTGGGTGTTCAGTCTCACAGATGAAGCAGCTGAGATCCTTTAGTGTTCTGAAAAGACAGCTGCTGAAACAGCTGTACATCTTCTCAATGACGATGCTGGTGACCCTGTTCCTGGCTTTCAACACTGCATGCTGCCATTCGAGATATGAACGGTGTACTTCTCTAACTCCCTCTTTTCTATACAAATCCTCAAAGGAAAATTTGCTTTATTGCTGATTGAATTGCTTACTGTTGCATTTTAAGGAAAGCAGTCTCAACAGACTGTGGAGATTAGCTGTTCCAGAGGCTTGCAAAGAATTAATAAGGTTTCTGCATGCTTTTTAACTAGAAATTGCCATTGTTATAGTTCTGGTGAACTTACTGTTACAGGAAAAGCCTGTGTTGTATTTCTATACCTGCACTGAATATGGAGGTTTACTGGTGAACTAATAGTAACATAGGACTTCTTTTTTTTTTTTCTTTTTTTTTTTTAGGTCACTTCAGTGAGTTATGGTTTTACATTTTCTATGTTTTTCTAGGTTTTCTATGTTTTTAAAATCCTTCACTCAAAATCCAGACTTACAAAGAATATTTTAAACCATCTAATTAATCACTAAAATTTTCCCTAAGGTTTCCAATGGAAGTTTAAGGAATTTTGGGTTGGTTGTTGTTTTTTTAAATAGAATATAATGCAGTCTGCTATTCAGTATTCTCTGCTTTTGCATGAAAAATATTGTAATAAAATCCAACTATTCTATAGATTGGCACTTTGAAAGTTGTTTTTTTTTTTTTTTCAGTCAGGGGGCATGAAAGGTGGCACATTTGATCCTTATCCAAGCCATTCTGCTGACCCTTATGTAACCAAAAAAACTATGGCTGCCTCATCCAGTAAAGAACAAAAGGTTTTTCATCCTCCTCCTGGACCGAAAAGCAGACCTGTTACAAGTATAATCACTCAAAATGTCTTAAGGTAAGCCACTTTAAGTTCATATTTCATGCATGCTGTCTCCCAGTATTCATTAGATAATTGATTACTAACAGAATAATTGAAGGAATTGTTAACAAAAGCATAAGAAATATATAAGGAAGATTGTTTTCAAAATTTTTTTCCATACTTCTGTAAGTTTGGGTGAAGTTTTTTCAAACAGTTATTTTTAAATAACTTTCTGTTCGGCCTTACTGTAATTCAAGCAGATGACCATGTTCTTTAGTTATTTGAAGCTTCAGTTTCAAATGGGATTTTTAAGATTGCATGCAGAACAGCTCAACATAGATGTATGATTTTTTTTGCATACTCTGTGAGCAACATGAAATATTTTAGAAATATCTGATTAAAATTTGGAAATCAATCTTAGAAGAATGTTTCACATTTGTGACTGTCTGTTATGTATCATATGTGAAGTTCAAGAAACGCATCTTTTAATCCACATATGACTGTTCTATTTACTTCACTACATACCTGAATTTGCTTAATCACTTTTAAATTGTAGGAATCATTGAAAGTTTCAGTTTGAACTGACAGGACCAAACCAGAAGCTACCTATTACTCCACATGAAACAAGTTTTAAATTGAGAAGGAATGGGTGATTGTGGAGTGTATGGGAACTGCTGAGTCACGGCCTGAACCTCTGATTGATCACCTGAGGCGAGCCATGAGTCAGCCAGAGGAGCACAGGTGAAGGCAATTCACCTGTGCTGCTGGAAGGGGTGGAGCCTGGCTCCTCCTCTCTTAGACCCATTTAAGAGCTGGCTGCCAGGGGGGAAGGATCTCTTCTGGAGATCCCCTCTGCTGGAGTTTTGTAGGCGAGCCCAGGATATGGGTAAGCTTTCTCTATTCTCTTTTTGTTAGTGTAATCTGCTCTGCCTAACTCTCTTGTTTTTTTTTTGTAATTATAACATCTTTACATTGATTGATTATACAGTGGAGTATCACCATGTGCTCACAGAAATGGTTATGATGGACTCGTTACAAATATCTGTAGAGAGAAAAAAATCACATCTGAAAGTTCCACAGCCAGAAATTCAAACAACTTCTTCAAATTGTCTGCTACCATTTCTCTCCTAACAATTTTAAAGGATGTATTGATTTTTGCTTTGTTATTCCTAGGTATAGTGGGATGAGAATTTTGAACAGCATTTATTAGAAGTATGAATGTTATAGTTCATATGTGGTGAGATACATTTCAAATTGTCAGCTTTTCCCCACTAGATTACAGTTTTTATGTACTTTCTAGTGGAAATCTTCTGGTATTTTGACTGTGATTCTGAATTGGATTTGTGAGCACAAATTCTTGCTCTAACACAGAGTTCTGTATAAATCATTTAGATTCTCATGGATTAGACACTAAATCTAATTACAGGAATGGGTGTAACAGTTTTTCATTTTCACTAAAACTTTCCTGTCCTGAAGAGTTGTATTCTAAAACAAAATTTAATAAGTTTCTCTTCATTTACGTTTCAGATCAATAAATATAAAGAACTACAAGACTGCATATGCTGCATCTTATTAGGTAAAAATGTTGAAATGAAGGATACGTATTTAAGACTCTTAACAATACAGTTGCTAATCAGCATTCAGCGTAAATAAAAATGTGAAAAGTGGAATTCAAGTACGTAAGGCAATCTGGTTTAATTATTGAGAATGTAATATCTGTGTTTGGTTTTTACACATACACACACAGACATATACATACATACATGGTTGTAAAGCTACAGTAAGTAATACAATGTATTCAGTAGGTCGGTGGGTGAATAATTTTTAATCTTACTGCTTCACTTGAGTACTGAAATGCACTTTAACAGAACATACTTCCTATTGAGTAATTTAGGTTCAAATTCACAAAGTATTGCAGTGGAAAAAAATGCACATCTTTCAAAGACTGCCAGTGTATATATTAGCCAAATAAGTCTGCTCACAGTGAAACTAAGATAATTGTTTCCCTTTAGCAGTATTACAATTTGTAGTTTATTTCAACAGTACTTTGTGTAAGAACTGTCTTGAAGACTTTCAGTTACGATATTCTCAAAATGACCATTGTCAGCCTTTTATAAAGGTAGTTATCTCTAATTATCATCATCTGTTTAACACTCATCCTCTGTTTCCTGAAAACTCTAACTGCTGCTATGTTCTCAAGAGAAGCTCTGTTACCTCTGTGTTCATGCAAGTATCTTAACAAACGTAATCTTTCAAACTACCTTCTTCTAGGATGAAACTCAGATCCTAACTTTTATAAGGTTTTATTATATGTGTTCCAAGAAATTTGTTCATGTAAACACCCCTCAGCATTTATATTTCTAAGCTATTTCTTGAAGATGTGTAGATCTTTATTCTTTAAGGATACTTACTGCTGTCCTCAAGATGAGGTGGTTTTTTGTTTCTTTTTTTTCCTTATTAATTCTAGGCTTGTGAATTCTAGACTAGGTCTCACAATTTCCTAACATTGAAGAAAACAAAAATAAAGACTTGTTGACCAGGTCTTCCAGCATTTATTAAGGCATAAAACCCCATGCTTTTAGATCAAGAGGGCACAATATTTTAAAATACTGTACTGTAATCTGTACAATAATTTTGATGTTTTCTTTATCCAAAGACCTGTAACAGAATTCCTTTTTTTTTTTAAACATGCTGTATAAGATAATGGTATTGGTGCTGGCTTTAGGTGTCTTGTACGGGTTATCAGGACAATATATTATGTTGTTCACTTATGAACTCTGCAGATTTAGCCCTCCTAGACAGATTGGACTGCATGGTACTTCTAACTGCTGTTCTGATGTAGTGCAGCTGATGAAGACTGCTCTGAAGTTTTTATTTTCTTTTCCTTGCTCTTCCTTCCACCTCTTCAGTTCTTCCTGTCGTATTTTCTTCTGTATTTTAGTTATCTTTTCATTCCCTAGCAAAATGGGGAAGGGAGATTAAAATTAAAAATTAAAATATGGCACTTTACTAAAACAAAGCAAAACAAAAAACCAGAATAACAACAAAAAGAACCCAAACACAACAGCAACAACAAAAAACCCAGCTTGTTTAAGAATTTTTTAGTGAATGTAGACTAAGTTTATGTGGCCGTTATGGGAAGCGATTGCTTCCCCTGATAAGTCCCCATTAGAAACAGTGTGCTCTGAGAAAGCTGATGCCCATTTCTGGGTAGGGCCTCAGCATACTGTTTAATACAAATAATAAATGTGTCCCTGGTTTCTTGACAGTGCATTTTACCATGATGGTGGAGGTTAGAACTTTCTTAAATTTCAAACAGGAAAGACAGTAGGCACTATATTATTTTCATGTAACAACTTCCCTTATATAAAAAACATAGCCAGTTACCTTTGTAATAGATTCTGAGCACAACTTAATATTTACAATCTCACACAACTTTGTGTCAAATGCAATTAAATGCCTGACCATCCATCTACCAAGCAACCCAAGTATTAACCATTTGATTGCTGTTACTGAGTCTGAGCACACAATGCAAAATTATAGCATATAATTTTTGCCTATCTCCAGTAAAAACCAAAAAATCAAAGCAGCAAAATATTTTGTACCTTAAAAGGTTTTTAGAGGAAAAGCCATTAAGAGGTTGACTAAGATTCTTTAATGTTCCTTTCAGTTGTTCTAATTTGTATCTGTAGTGGTACAAAAATGCACTCTACAGTTAGTGTGCTGTGTTAAAGCCAGATAAATAACTGTTTCTTTGTTACAATCTGTTTTTATGAATTATTGAAGAAATAGGAAGGAAGAGATTACTTTTATGCAGTAACAATCTCTAAAGATATTGTGCCTTTTACTGGCTAGGGACTTGTATACCAGTGGTTGTATTAGGAGGAACTAGAAGATAAGTAATTACCTCTAAGTCTGTTCTGGAAACACCAATAACTAATTACATGGCTTTACATTAACAAATTTATTTAGTAAGTACTAAAAAAAAAATGTAGCAGAATAAAGGGAAATAGCATGGTAGAAACACTACTTACAGACAATTTCATAAATATTATATGCAGTGTTTTTGAAAAATTCTTCTTCCCTATGGTCCTGTGGCTGAGAAAATTAGTCTTTGTACAGTAATTAGCAGATGTTAATTTTTGTGTTTTTTGTAGTATGACTGTTCTCAGAACGTGTTTACACTGAAAATGTTGAAATTCATGTTTCAGTTAATAAGCTTTCTAAGTTAGAGAAACAGTAAAAAGGTAAAAGTAGTTTGTACTAATTACACATAAATCAGCATTAGAAGTCATCTGAAGGACAGGTTAATGCGGGTTACACTTTATTTAGGACTTCTTGTAAAATAACCTGTGAAATGTGGCATGTACTAAACTGCTTAGCTAAAAGGTTGCTAAGATTCCTTTCTGAGTCTGAAATCTTTGGGACAGAATTCAATCTCCTGTCAACTGTCATAGTTTCATCACATTTCTATATACTAATGTTGTATAAGGATCTGTTCTTCTTAATCTGTAAAATGTAGCAAAGTATCAATAAAAGCAGACAGTTTGAGTACATTACCAAGAAAATAGTGAAAAGACTGTAAATGACTTAAGAAGATGAGTAAGGTATTATGAATTGAAAGTCATACCTTGTGAAAGGCAATCCAAAGGAATTTCTTTACAAGTTGTAGTGGAATGTTCAGAATAACAGTTATTCTGCATGGTGCCGGAACTGAGATTGGGTTTCTTTTGTGCCCGTGCTAAAGCTGTAGCTTGGCCTCGGAGATAAACATAATCCTTATGCAAACGGTGGAATTCAAGCTGTGCTACATCTCTCTCATTTTCAATAGTCCACAGTTGATTTTCTAATAGTAAGCATTCTTTAGACAGTTTTCTAATGTCATTTTCATATTTGGAAGCGTATTGTCTGTATTCATTCAGTTCTCTCTTAAGTAGCTGATTTTCCTCTGTGATGTCTGTTACTACTGTTGATAACCTCTTATATTCTGTGTTTGCAGCGGTCAAGTCATATTTTAAAAGATCAGTGTCTGCTTTTGCATTTCTGGGTTCAGTCATGAGTTTCTTTTCTGTATACACTTCATCTGTCTGGACTTCCTCAGTGTCCTTCAGCAGCATCTGTTTAGTATTAGAACATTCCTGCAGAGTCATTTCAAGATTAAGTTTTTTCTCTGCAAATGTTTGCATTAATTGAAGATGAGTCTCCAGTTCAGATTTTGTTGCAGTTTCTTTTTCTTTCATTTGTTTTATTTCACTCTGCTTTCCTTCAAGCTCTTGCTCTGGGGAGCTCTTTTCTTCTGTAAGTTGACCAAGTTTTTTATTTATTTCTTGTGAATTGGAGCATTTGTGTTTCAAGGACTCTAGCATTGCATTGAGCCTCCCTTTTTTGCAAGTACCAGCAGTCATCTTTTCTTCTAATTTCTTGTTCCTAATCTGAAAATCATGTAGTGCCTGTGTTGTGTCTTTGTTTCCATTGTGGTGTTGATTCTTTTTCTTTTCAAGGATTACTTTCTGGTTCTGGAGTTCTTTATATTTTCTTATCAGACTCTTTACTTCCTTAATGCATTCCTCATTGCCTTCTGGTGATTTAACCAACTGAGTTTGCATACTCCTCTTTTCTTTAGTGAAGTCCTTAATTTTCACATCATATTTTGATATTTTTTCTTTCAAAGACTGTACAGAATCAGCAAGAGGTGTGACCTTGTTCATGAGATGTAGATTTTCATTCTCAAGATAATGTACTCTTTTTTGCAGATGCTCAGAGTTTTTCAGAGGCTTATGCAATGCTTCAATTTCTCCATCATATTCAGGGGATGCTTTGTTTTTACTGAACTTCTGATCTCCTAGCCTCAGCAGCATCTGGTTAAAAACAGACAGTCATTCTTTTTCTAGTTGCTGTTTGTGATCAAGCATTAGTAGCTTATCTTTCACCATTTTGGAAAATGAATCTACCTGGCATCTGTTATCTTCACTACAACTGCTTTTAAATTCAAGTACATTTCTGCTTTTAGATTCTGCTTTTTCATTGCATGCTGTTGTAGGAGGGGTTATACTGCCATACTCAGAATCCTTATAAATTTTTTGATCAAAATGTAGGCAATTTTCATTAAGTAGAGCTGAAGCAGTATGTGATTCATCCAAGGAAGTCACAATTTCTGCAATGTCTTTCAAGTTACTTAATTTTTCTCTGTATAAGAAGACAGATTTTTCTGTATTTTGTCCTAACAAGTCTGAATTAGTATTGGCTGACTTCCAAAACTCTCGTTTCAGCAACTTGGTAGCATAATTATCATCTATTTTACAGATTTCTTTCCTGTGTTCAGGTAAATTCATAGGAAGCTTAGATTTACTAAAAATTACCTTCTCCTGAGCAGCATCTGATCTTTCTGTCTCTGAATCAGTTCCAGATACCAAATGTCCACGTGTAAACTCATTGTTTATTTTAAGTATCCTTTTGTTTCCAATTAGATTTTCTGAATCTTCAACCTTTTCAGTTTTCAGTGAAATCCTATGTGAAATTTGTATATCACTGACCACATTTTTAGCATTGCAGTTTACTTCCACATGCTCTTCAGAA